ACGACGAAGACGACCACGACGACGACGACTACTACTGCTACAACTACGAATACTGCTACAACAATTACTACTGCTACTACTGCTACTACAACAACAACAGCTACTACTACTACTACTACTACTATTGCTACTATTACTTCTCTACTACTCGTACCGGTAGTACTAGTACTAGTACTAGTACAGCTACAACAGCAACAACAACTACTACTACTTCTGCTACTACTATTATTATTACTATTACGACGACGACTACTACTACTACTACTACTACTACTACCGCTGCTGCTGCTGCTGCTACTACTACTACTACTGCTGCTGCTGCTGCTACTACTACTGCTACTACTACTGTTTCTATTACTACGATGACGACGACGACTTCTACTACTACTGCTTCCTCTTCTGCTGCTGCTGCTACTTCCTCTGCTACTGTTGACACTCTGACGGCCCTCGCAAGCTGTGGTTCGTGTGTCCCTTGCAGGGTTCCAAACAAGTTGCCTGAACAGCTGCAAGACTTGGCTAGGGAGGGGCTTCAATTTCTGGAAAGTGTCCATGCTTTTTCAAGAATCTTAATTCTCGAGGTTGGGGGGTGTCGGTTGGCGGGGATCTGTGCTGGGTTCCATCACACCTTGATGGCACAAGTTTTCGACGTCTTGTCCCGTGTCCGAGACTTGCACAGGATTCGCTGCAGAAAGATTCGCACATCTTCGGCGCTACTGTTCTGTGCAAGCCTCCTACGCTCAATCTAAAAGCAGCCCCTACCTTCTAAAGGCTTTGCCTGCCAAAGGGCATACCTTGGAGTCCTTGATTTCACCGTCAACCCTGCCAGCAAATTACATCACGCTAGTGTCATTCGTAAACCCTAGACTCCCTAGAAAAGAACTTCAAGCACTTCAAGCCGCCTCCTTGCACAGCATCACAGGACCCCCTGACCGAGAGCGAGAAGACGGCCCTGGAAACGCGAATAGCAAGCAGCAGCGGTAAGGCCGGCTCCAGACCAACTGCTGCGCTTCCGACTGCTGCTGCTGCTGCTACTACTACTACTGCTGCTGCTGCTGCTACTACTACTGCTGCTACTACTACTACTACTACTGCTGTTACTACAACAACAACGACCACAACGGCAACGGCAACGGCAGCGACAGCGACAACGACAACGACAACAACAACAACAAACGTGCGCAGGCCAATCTCAGAAGCTGGTGCCGAGCATACCCAATGTATTCCACTTCGATGGAGAAGTGCTTGGAGCGCATGTCAGCATCAGAGGGCAAGTGGGAGGCTCGAACTAGGCTTTAGTTCAGGCGAGTCTTCACGGTACGTTCTTGTTTTGGCGTAGTTGCCTGCTGTCTTAGCTGAAGGTCTTCCTTTGAAGCGCATTCCTAGGACTGGCTCTGACCGCTCCGTGTGCGGGTGTAGCTTCGTACAGGAGCTTTGGGATTCTGTTCTCTGTAATTACAGCACCTAACTATACAAGTACACCAGCAATACACAAGCACCATGGTTTCGCTGCAACGATGGAGGTAGTTCTCTAAATTAGGGCCACTTTCAGGGTCCCTTTTATTAGGGTGCCACCTTCTTTTGGGCTCCTGAAGTTCTAAAGGGGACCAAAAAAAGCTACCCACCTACACATTCACACATATCGAACACTTGGACATGCACAAGCATAATTTTCAGGTATATATAATATGTATTCAGGTACGTGCGTAGGTATCGAGGTGTGTATGCATACATGCATGCACGCATAAATATAAATATAAATAACTATGTATGTATATTTTTATTTGAGTCTATACACACATACATACATGCATGCACATACAGACATATGTGTATATATATATATATAATTATGCCACGCCTCGCCTGAAAATCCACCTTTTAGTTGTTTTGATGCCACATGATCTGACTCCAGGCCCTGAAGATGATGGCTCTAATTCAGGCTTTCGTGTTGGGGATTTGGGTCAGGATGCTCCGCACAATTTATGGAACAGTAGCCCCCCCTCTCCATCTTGGCTCTGAAATACTGCCAGAGTGTGCCCTTTTAACCCATTATACCATAGAAGTCTTCGTGCTTGGCCATTAATTTTTTCATAAAGTCTCTATACTCTATAGAATTATAACAAACACTTGGTCCTGAAATTGGGAAAAACCATAGAAACACAGAAAGTAACCATATTGTAATTGAGGCACGAATTCTCTTCAGCGTCCAAGTAACCGTGAAGCTTACCCTAGTTCTCAGCATCCTGCTACAGAGGTCTGAATATGTAGTAGCAACCTATTCCCTGATAGCTCCCCAAAAACCCATATACCACGCATCACATCTTAAAAGCCGAAAACATCACAGATCTCTGTAGGGGAACCATATTCGGGTTGCCAAGGCCCTAAATTTATGTCTTTTTATTTGCGCAAGTTCGTTTAGATGCCGACTCGGGCGAACTTATGTTGATAGAATAAGGATCGGAATAATAAGAACATAGCAACAACAATGATCATGCTAATACGACAACAACAACAAGAGATAGGCATACGATACCATGGGATACTACTGCGACCCCTACGTAAGATACCATTTCCAGGCAACGTATTTTTTATAGGTGCCCAGCCAGCGCCCCCTCAACCATACGCAGTACGATGGTAACCCTCTCCCTTAGCTTGACCAGTTGTTCTACGGCACCCGCTGTCATAATTACGATAGGGCCAGAGACCTATATCGCCTATAATCGTTTTGGTCGCACTTTAGACTATGCCAACACGCAGCCGTTCATCTGAAATCGTAAATGACAACTTTCGCACTCAGATAGACTGCAAGATTAGCCGTCTTTAACTCCGATATTGAACTTTTGCTGCCTTGAAAAGCCTAAACTGAATTCTTTCAACTTAAACCGAGAACTACAGCTGCTATAGCTAAACAATCTAAGGCCTCAATCATTAAAAAATCGTTGTTTCCCCAAATCCCCAACCTAAAGCCCCTGACCCTAAACTGGGAGCTTAGGGAAGTAACCTTCTCGTGCCGTAACAAAGACCCCTACCAGTAAATGCTAAATTTCCTAGTATTGATCCGCGGCCTGAGTTCGCAGACATGGTACAGTAGGGTCTGCAGCAGCGTTTTTGTCATGGCTTCGTAGGACTACGTAAACTGCATATGTTGTGAGTATAAATTCTGACTGTTGTGATAAAATTACGAATAGTAATAATGATTAAATCCAATACGAATCACGAGGCCCATAATGTGTTGCTATGAACCAGGGATCACGAATTGAATGCAGTACCATTTGACTAAATTTTACTGGTCCTGAAAGGGTCGTGTCAGGAGCCAAGAACCAAGATTCCGAATAGTCCTAGCGAATCTTCGTTCCCAGGCTTGGGTTGGTGTTACCGCACACGGAATGTGGTAATTAACACGGGGCCAGGCTAGGAACAATTAAACAAGGGTGGGTTTATAAAAAGCGGGGTGTGGGTTGCACCATATATACATATATATACACACACAAACAGACATACAGGCACATACACATGCGCAACACGTACGGCCAAATGCTTAGGTTTACCTATGGTGCGATACGACTACAGGCCATCTGGAGCCCTGAGTACGGACCATATCTAGGGGAAGCAGGCAAAGAAAAGTGAGGCTCTGCAGGCCCTCCTGAACCCCAAAGCTTTACTTGGTACAGTCCCAGAAGCTCTAATGGGAGCGTGCTCAAAGGCGGATCCGGCACAAAGCTCTGAACGTGCCAGCATTTAAGGTGCATCGTGGAGGGCGATTCTCGTGGATACGGCCGGGAGCAGCTTGGCTTGTGTGAAGGTGTATAAAGCACAGAACCGAAGCCAGGAACAAGGCTGGGTCCTTGTTGGATACAATTTTACATTTTTGTTATAATAAACCCCTCATGAGGATTAAAAATGATCAGTTTTAATTTGGCCCCAACAACGGGGAACCAGAAGGGCTAAAACAACGATTCTGCGAACTGGGGTGCATGAGCTGCCATTGATTCCGGAAGGATGCAAGCAGGTGCTGACAGAGAACTGAGGCGATCCCTTAAACTGCAGAGTGCTCAAACTCCCAACTTCGTTGAGCCCCAATAACCACAAGTTCCAGTGAAGTCCTGTTGCACGATCTCCCCCCAAGGATGTTCAAGTCCCAGCAGAAGCTGAAGCTCACGAGTCGGGGTCCCAGTCGGGGCACTCCAGCCCGAAACCTTTCTGAGCTTGGAGACTGTTTTTCGTTTCTTGGTTCTTGGTTGGTGGTTGTTGGTTGGTGTTTGTTGATTGTTGCTGCTGCATCATGGGCGTGAGGAGATAGATATCAAGATCTGCTTCCTGGTTTCGCTGAGGTGCCGACGCGATCTACTGCTTCGTCTCCGGACACTGCAACAACACGCAGGTTACTGAAAAGACAACGATGCAGGAAGCGGAAGGCATCTGCAACAAGCTTTATGGACAGAGGCAGGACAAACCTTAGGACCGACCTGAGACGAACCATGCCGGGCTGCGGAACCCAGGCTTGAGATATTGGCGATGCGTGTTTGCTTTCATGCTGGGCCTGCCGAAGGTGGACAGAACTCGGCTGGAAGGACTACATGGCGGTGCTGGCACGTGCCCTGGAGGTTGCGACCAAGCACCACATCCCCAAGGTGCGCGTGATTGCTTCCGCCTTTTAATGTCTGTCTCTCTTTGGACACTACCTCCCGCTCTTGGAGCGGCATGTTGAGGAGTGGAACTTCACCGGATGGGGCTCCCTCGTTAAAATCGCCCGTCATGAGGCCGGGATTTCAGTATCTTGGTCTTGGACTAAACTTATGGCTTATGGAATCCCAGTCGATTTTTCCGCCTGCGGTAGGTGATTGGCATGATCTTCATGACATGGAGCTTAGGCAATGACTGCGTGTGCAATGGGAAACTTCCAGTGCGACGTCACCTACTGCCAGATGAACTATTGCCACAACGACCGATTCCGAGCAAAGTTCGGAAACTTTTCGTGGTCGTATCCTGACTAGTAGCATGCCTAGCTTTGTTTGGCTTTGTGACGTTACCATGAGAAGCAAAGCTCAGAAACCGGCTTCCAGGCCACGTTCGACGCCTGCTGCATGCCATGTCGGATAGAGCAAAGGCATCCTGCTTGCGGCTTAAAGCACATGGGACGCAAATTGCTGATAGCTCTGATCCCTTGCAGAACGCTTAACATCATGTTCCGGTCAGGCTCGCGAAGTGCCAGAAGCTCTGGAAACCGCCACCAACCCCCGAAAACCCAATAGTAATCCGTATAGTAAAAAACCCTCATCAACCCTGTGGTACCCCTTCCAGTGACACCAAACCGGCTTCTGCATGGCCTGCTGCAGCATCGCTGGCTGCAGACCCGGCCCTGCAGGAACCTTATCGTCTGGGGTATGCAGCGTTCAAACTACACCGGGGTTTGGGATATGCTGGCTGCTTCCTATCATGCAGTTCTGGGGTCGTGTCGCTTTGGCAATCTTAAAGCTGAAAAGCCTCAGCCAGCAGCTGTCGGTCACGACGCGCGATGAAGTGGAATGCTTGTGCAGAAACGCTGGCCCCAAAATGCTCGTGGCTCAAGCATGATTGTGTCGTCACCGCGCAAGACATGAGAGGTATGGTCGCCCATGCAGAGCCAGCAAAGACAGAGCACAAGTGCAAAGCGTCAAACCGGTTCTGACTGTTGCGAACCGCAACAAAGCTGCCCTTGCGGCATGGAAGAAGCACATACATATGACCTGCCTATCCTGCCGCACAGCTACTTGGCAGAGCAGAGGGAAACGGGTGCAAGGGGTGCAAAGCTGTCGATGTTTCTGGTGCAAGTTTTCGATTCGCCAGCAGTCGATCGTTTCTGCGAGGCCTGATCGATCCCGTTGCACCGCCTCAGCAGCAGGCGATTCTTCCAAGGGAGGAGGCGTACTTTTGCGACTTTGTCATTGTCGTGAGCCAAGACTAGCAGACTAGCAGCTGCATTTTTGGCGGCGGGGGGGCGGGGGGGTGGGGGGTGGGGGTGGGAGCAAGAGGGCTATGCTACCTGGTGGTTGTTAAGCATGCCGCGCCCCTCTTATCCCCACAATTCTTCATGTGAAGTGATTGACGGGCTTGTTGTAGGCGAAGTCGTCGAACACCACTGCAATGAATGCATCGGACTCTCATCTGAAATTGATTCCTTCTTTGCTCGAGTTGTGTAATCTGCTTCGTCTCCTGAGGACCGCGGCCAGGCATGCGTTGTTGATGACATCGAGCAGGAAGGTCTGGAATCGGTCAGCAGCCTGTCAGGCATTAGCATAGCGTGTCATCATTCTTCCCAAGTTTCAAGCAGCATGTTAGCTTGAATGGCTGTGGCTGCAGGCCATGCTAGCCTCAAACGTAAGATCACTGAGGAGCGTGAGTTCGATGCACGAGCATTACGATTCTGGCAAAAGTGTGCCGAGAGTTGTAGCCAAATAGTAAACCAGAGGATCCGTCCTGGATAAAGCTTTCATCAGCACATCTTACGGGTGCATGACTTAGGGTCGCGGTTCAGAGTTTGGGTGCAGGGCCACAGATCAGCGGCCGTTGCCCCCCAGGTGCCATGCAGCTCTCCACGAGGCAGTGGCTAGGAACCCGTAGGTTCCAGATTTGGGCCATTGGGGTGAGAGAGCAAGGCGAATCAAGCAGGGGTGGGGGGTTGTTCCGAATTTGGGTTCTTGTCATAAGCTTCAGCGCAGCTTTGGTCTCGCACGGGCCGGAAAACAAGTTACTTTTTGAACCAGTGCCCCATATGAAATCCCGAACCATTGGGTTGACGACAGACTTTTCTTGAGCATCAAAGACTTCCTCGATAGTCCGGAGAGGGACTATAGGGTTTGAGGGTTTCTAGATGGAAGCTACGAGCAGCTTCAAGTTTTGCGCATTTTAGATTTAGGGCTTTAGGGGTTTCGGGGTTTAGGAGTTTAGGGTTTATTGTGTTTGCACCAAGACGTGCCAAGATGCTTCTAAACAGGACCCCCTCGTGACTGCCACGAATTCTTGCGTTGCTCCTTGAAGGTTTGCATCGCGCGAAGCTCCCGAGTTGCAAATGCGACTGTCCCTTGGAAAAGGAGAAGGAGCCGCAATATTAATACTGAATCTTAGATGGTCGACGATGATCGCAGTGCGGCTCAACTTCTTCCGTGGGAATGCACAAGCGCCCATGCGCAATGCATGGGCAACAGTCTCGGGTATTGAGTCGATTATGGTTAGGTGAGTGAGGATGGACTGCCGTTTCTTCCATACACTGGTTTCGATTTGGCTTGAACTCTTGCAGTGCAGCTGCAGTCCAGTACTCCTAAACATCCTGCGCTTCTAGTTGCATCGGCACGTTTGACCAAGGATTCCTCTGTCGGACATAGTCTGGCTTTTCCCTTTCTTTGGTATTTCTCTGGTCAGAAGCGAACGGTTTCATCTATGCTTGTAGTTGCACGAACGAGCACGTCAGGGATTCCCGTCACAAGGGCATGTCTCAAGCTCGAAATGCCATGCGTGCGCAAAGCCCTTTCCGTGACAAACGGGTTTCGAGCTACATGCTGGCGAAGATGTCAGGTCCATTTGGATGCTCAGCTGGTTGGCTAGTAGCAGTCGCGTGAACGAGGTCGGAAAAACTGAACAGGTACACACTGCAGATGTTAAAGTATATATACATATATAATAATATAATATAATATACAATATATAATATATAAAATATAATATATAGTATATATAATATATATATAATATATAATATATATAATATATAATATATATATAATATTTATAATATATATAATATATATAATATATGTAATATATATAA